GGATGGCCGCCTGCGCGCTGGCGATCATCGCCGCGCTGTGCTGGGAGGCGGCCGCGTCTCGACTGGAGCGGGCGTCTACCCCGAGGCCCTCGTCCGATTGGTGGCTCGCGCGGTGTCTGAGCACAGGGGTGGCGCGTCAGGGCGTGCTCGCCACGCCTGGATGGGGCAGGCGGATGGTGAGTTCACCGGCCAGCTAACATCATCCGAAATAGCTTCGCAAGACGTTTTGTTCTTCATGCGCCTCTCCTGCGGGCTCGCGGGGGGCGATCGAAGGACCTGGTGGAGGTGCCGGGGGCCAGGGGGGCCCGGTCGAGTCGGAAGTCAGCGAGGATTCGCGAAACTCGACCGCCTGACGGGCGCCCAAAGGTTAAACCCGACGAGGGGCCGACTGAAGAAGAACAGGGGTTAGTGTTCAAGCTTCGCGTGAGCATGAGTCACTCAGAGAGCCGCGCGCCCGCCGGGGCGGGGGGGAAGCGACATTTCCCCACCTGGATTGGAGACAAGGTCAAGTGCTCCAAGTGCGCGGAGAGAGCTCGGAGCGACGTGCGTCGTCGAATAGCCTTTCCCAGGGCCCGCAGTTTCTATCTCTTTGTCGGGGCTGGCTTTCAAAGGGGCATCCTGCCCTCGTGTCCCAGGCGCTCGAGCGGCGTCGGCGTGGAGAGCCTTCGTCGGCAATCTGCAGACCCCCAGGTGCCCCGCGCTTTCTGCTATCTGACGGAGGCCCGGAGTTGTCGGAACGGCGCGCCCGCGGCGTGGAGTAGCTGGGCATCTTGCGTCGCGCGTGCGACGCCGACCCCCCGTGGCAAACTGGTCGGGCAGAGCGCCGCGGAGGCTTGGTGAAGGGCCGCGCCGCGGCCGAGATCGATTCCGGCTCGGCCCCCCCCGCCGCGCTGGACGGGCGCCATTCATCTAGCGTCCGCCGTTCATCTCCGAGGAAGGCGGGCGGCGGGGGGCCGACCCGCGAAGCTACTTCCGAAGGGCCAGAGGTGTCCGAGGGCCCCGACCTTCCCCCTCCTTCCCTCCGCTGGCTGCCGCCGCTCCCTCTCCTGCCTCGCCCGCGGGCGCTCCTCCCAAGGAGGGTGCGGCTCCGCGGGGGAGGCTCCGGCGGCCCGCCGACGTCCCGCGGCGCGTCCGGGCCCGGCCGGGGACGGCCGCGGGCCGCTCCTGCAGGGGCCCGCCGGAGGTCCAGAGAGCCAGGACAAGCTCCGACGATGATAGGTTGATGGGTCGGCGACGGCCCCGGCGGTTCCGGGCGTCGATGCCGGGCCGGGCGCGCTGAAGGTGGCCCAGCCAAGTCGCGCCGTGTCGGCGCGGGTGCGCGATTTCGAGAATCGGGGCCCCAGCTCAGGGGAGCGTCGAGGTCTCCATCCAGAGGGGTCCGACCAGGAGAATCTGCGGATGGGGGCCTTCAAAAGAAGCCCCGATACCTGGAGGTTGTTCGGTGCTTCCATTCGGCGAGTAGGTATGATGGGCTGGAGTGGTTTTGGAAGACGGCGGGGCTTTCGTCGCTTGCCGCGGCGGCGAGGTGACCATGGGTTGCCTGGTCCGGCCGAGAGGGCCAAGTTCGAGATCTCTAGCTTGAGGAATGGGAAGCCATGGAGGGCGCGGGGGCTGTCGAGGTCGCGCCGTCAAGCCAGGCCAGGACCGTCCAGGAGCTCGGGGCCGATCGCGCCATCTCGGGCCGGATGGTCCGCAGGTGTACGCCGATGGAAGGCGCTTTTGCGGGGCCGGATACCAATTCCAGGTGGCGTGTGCGTGGCCGCAAAGACTTGGATTTGGCAGCGTTCGAAGTCCACCCCCCTTCCAAAGCGTCGGCTATACCATGTTTATGCAGGTGTCCATGGATCTCGGGCTGTACTGTCGCAGCGCAGACTTTAGAGCGCGTTCTGCCAATTCGACAAGATGAGTCGTGCGCAGGGTGGGATCAATGTCGAGCCTCGCGAGGGGATTGACCTTGACCCTTGCTTCCTGATTCATCTCCCAGTGAATGTCTACGGGTTAGATGATGCACCCATGGCATGGGCGCGTTCGGTCGTCCGGTATTTGATTGCCCGCGGATTTTCTCGTTCGTTGCTGGAACTTTTTCGTGGGTGAGATATTGCGAGACGGGGCGCGTCGCAAACGTGATGCGGCTGGAAGTCGACACCTTTCTCGCTGGTGGCGCTTCCCAGGAGTATCGAAAACTTTTGCGCGGGATCCTCGAGGGTTTGTTTCGGTTCGGTTCGGTTTGTCACCGAGGGCTTGTGAACCTCGCTGGCAGGAGGGTGACTATGGACAAGGACCGAGTCTTTCTCGATCAAGAGTAGAATGTATTGGAAGGGGTCAAGCCTTTGATGATGGCACAAAGGCGCCTATCTCGCAGGGGTTCTCCTCTGGATCTGGTGGAGCTCAAGGCTGCGCGCTCTGTCGTGCGCAAGTTCAACTTCGTCGGGCGTGCGGCCTGGCCCGAGGCGGCAGGCGTTGCCGTCGTTCTTGCTGGTCGTCTCCGTGCTGCTACCGCTGGCGATGTGACCCCCGTCAACAAGCGGGCTAGACACCGGCGCTCGATGGCTTCTATGGGGCCTGCTTGATTATCTGGATGCTGGGCCCCGATCGGGTGTCTTCTATTTTCTTGTCAGATGCCTGCGGCGCGGGCTTCGCTCGCGGCCTGCCCGACGAGCGTGGCCTTCCAGCTGATCTTACCCAAGGAGCCTGGATGGTGTAAACTGGCCACAGATCGGCGCTACAGAACCAGGCTGTCCGGGCATCTATCCAGGGCTGGAGATCGTCCAAGCTTCTCCGGGAGGTGCCGTCCACCCTGGCCGCAGAGACGCAATTTTTATCGGCAGCCGTGGCAGAAGCTCAGTTCTTTCAGGTTCTCAATCGCGATGTGTTTCGCGACGCCGATGCCCTGGAGTGTCGAAGAACGTCCGGCCCCTTTATTATGCTACCACGGTGTGACTTCTTTCTGGGCTCGCGTGAGCGCCGCGTCCATGTGGTGGTGGACGCAAAGCACATCTACGATACGATGCAGACGGAGGGGAAAACGTTCGCCAAGGACGGGCGCACGGCAATCGACCTGGCAATAATCAGTGAATCTTTGGAGCGCGCACAGGGACATGTGGGATAGGTGACCCACGGGCGCATGCCGTTGACGCACTCATCAAAGAAGACGTCACATAATGTAGCGCTGCTCTGTTCGACTTGATGACCCATGGCCGACGCATACTCATCCATGAGGACGTGCCCGAAGTCAACCCTAGGCCTAGAGAGTCGCTCCCATGCCGCCTCCAGAGACGCGCTCTCCCCAGATTCGCTAGATGCGTGGGCCCGGTTCCAGGAGACCATGATTTTCGAGATTCCCAGTTGTGGTGGTGGTGGTGCTTTGGTCGGTTCGTCCTCCGTCCTTCCTCAATCCTTCTTCCCTCCGCTTTCCGACAATCGCCACAATCTCTGTCCCAATACTCTCTCATTCTCTCTTCTCTCTCTTTCTCTTTCTTGTTTTCCTGTGCAGCTCTCTCTCTCTCTCTCTCTCTCACACTTCTCTCTCACTCAGCAGCAGGAGAAGGGGGTCGCCCTTGAAAGCAGGGCGGACTCGCGCCATTCAGGGGTGCATGTTTGTGACACTGTTGAACTTAGGAGAAGTTAGACGAGTGGTACTACCATCCAGATGCAGACTTGTAGCCTGAACATGTGTAGTCTCTCAAGGGTGACCTGCCAAGCAGGTCGAGTGACAAATTGTGAAACTGTTCCCTACTTTGGCTTAAGGCATCACGTTCCCTCATTTCCCGTGTCCGCATAGGAGGAGGACAGAGGTGTAAAATGGACCAGCTTGTAGCCTGAGCGCGTCCGGGCGGAGGCGGACGAGGAGGAGGAAGAGGTGAAGGTGGATGATGATGATGATGATGATGATGATGATGATGATGATGATGATGATGATGATGATGATGATGATGATGATGATGATGATGATGATGATGATGATGATGATGATGATGATGATGATGATGATGATGATGAGGAGGAGGAGGAGGAGGAGGAGGAGGAGGAGGAGGAGGAGGAGGAGGAGGAGGAGGAAGAGGATGATGATGTTGATGATGGTGAGGAGGAGGAGGACGAGGAGGAAAAAGTGGAGCAGGAAGAGGAGAAGGAGGAGGAGGAGGAGGAGGAGGAGGAGAAGGACTACTGGGTCGGCCAGGTTTCGTTCGGCGACAGTGGGGGCGCGTGTGCGGCACAGGCTGCGCTTACGCTCGTATGAGGAGGAGGAAGAGGAGGAGAAGGAGGAGGTGGATGATGATGATGATGATGATGATGATGATGATGATGATGATGATGATGATGATGATGATGATGATGATGATGATGATGAGGATGAGGATGAGGATGAGGATGATGATGATGATGATGATGATGATGATGATGATGATGATGATGATGATGATGATGATGATGATGATGATGATGAGGAGGAGGAGGAGGAGGAGGAGGAGGAGGAGGAGGAGGAGAGATAGGAGGAGGACGAGGAGGGATAGGACGAGGAGGAGAAGGAAGAAGAGGAGGAGGAGGAGGAGGAGAAGGAGGAGGAGGAGGAGGGGGAGGATTCCTCCGCACAATTCCAGACCAGCGGCGGCGCCCCGTGACTGCTTCTACTCCTCCTCCTCCTCCTCCTCCTCCTCCTCCTTGCCGTCCTCCCCGTCGTCCATCTCCTCGTTCATTCCCGCTCCCTTCTTCTCCTTTCTCTGTGTTCCTTCCTCAGTGTGAGGTGTTCTCCTCCTTCTTCTCCTTTCTCCTTTCCCTCCTTTTCCTCCTTTTCCTTCTCTTCCTCCTCTTCCTCCTCCTCCTCAGCCACAATTTTCAGGTCAGCTCATGCCAACCTCTGCCTTATATCAAAGGTTGCCGTGAGGGGGTCGCCTCGATTTGGCTCCCCCCCCTTTCCTGGGCCGGCTCGTCGTCTCAGAAACTCCTGAGGTGCCTTTGTCCGGCTTGTCTGTGCCCCGCTACGGCCACCCTCTGCGCGCCAGACGAGTGGCAAGAACACCTCTGGCATCGATTTCGACAGCTACGACAACATCCCCGTGCAGATCACGGGTAACGACGTCCAGGACATCAAGCCCATCAACAGATTCTCGGAGGCGCGATCCTGTTCCATGGCGGTGCTCGGGGTGCGGGGGCCCCGTGCCCCCCTGGCACTGGCGAGCGAACGAGAGAGAGAGAGAGAGATGCGACCGACAGAGAGGCGGGGAGGGGGACCCGAGAGGAGAGCTGCGTGCCTCTTGGAGTGGAAGTGGGCTTCAGAAGCCACGCTGTGAGACCTGGCTTGACTTGAAGCAGAATGCCGTTCTCTGAGGACGGCGGCAGACTGCCCCGAATTCGCCCCCAACCGCGAGAGAGAGGCATGCCATGGAGAGGAGGCCATGCGTTCTGTTGGGCCATCTTTGGCTGCTGTCTCTGCTTCACCGTCCTTCTCTCCCGCCCAGCCCTTCGGTCCGCTTCCTCTGCTCCAGCCCCGCGTCCCCGGCGAGTGCTGCCTGCAGGCCTTGTCGCTGAAGAGCGGACGGTTGGCGTTGCCTCCGACTTTCACGCCTCCTCTCTCCCCTGCCCGCTCGCCGAAGAAAGGATGGCTGGAGTTCCCCTGACCTTCACGCCTCCCTCTTCTCCCGCACCCTCGAGGAAGAACGGATGGCTGGAGTTCCCTTTGACCTTGCCTCCATCCCCTCCCCTTCCTCCTCCTCCTCCTCCTCCTCCTCCTCCTCCTCTTTTTCCTTCCCCCTCCTCCTGCTCTCCGTGGCCAGGCAAAGCTGACGGACTCCTTGGCCGACAACCTGCGCCGCTGCGGCTACGAGCGGCCCACCCCGGTGCAGAAGAACTCGATCCCGATCGTTATTTCGGCCAGCCGTGGGGGATGTAGGAGGAGGGGGAGGAGGCGGAGGAGGAGCCAGAGGCGGAGGAGCAGGGGGAGCAGGAGGAGGAGGAGGAGGAGGAGGAGGAGGAGGAGGACGAGGAGGAGGAGGAGGACGAGGAGAAGGAGGAGGAGGAGGAGGAAAAGGAGGTCTTCGCGGAACGGTACCCTTTCGTACCAGGAGCGCAGCGAAGGGGCGACGGTGGTGTGCCTGGCATGGGCAAGAGATAAAAGAGGAGGGCAGGAGGAGGGATGGTGCAGGATATTCGAAGAGGACGGATGAAAAGGAGGGATCGAGAGGAAGCTGGGAGGAGGCAGTAGGCTGAAGGAGGGAGCAGCAATTTTTTGATGACCTGGACACACGGAGGTGATAAAGAAACTGAAGAAACGTGCGACGATGGAGACGGGATGAGGCGGAAGAGGACATGATAGGAGGCAGACGGGATGAGGTGGACACGGATGTGTGCGGAAACTTACAGCTTGCCGTAGTGGTTGGGGTGAGTTGTGGGAACCATGGCCTTTCACACGGTTGGGCTCCGAATTGACACAATTCTCATTGACCCAGCCTTGGGAGGACCACAAAATGGCGTTCCCACTACTGAGCATCCGCAATTGCGATGTGCATCGCGGGCTCTGGGGGTGCAACATACCATACCCACCCAGAGGTTGACGCGCTAGATGTGCCAAGTTGTGGGTTTCTTGTGCATGCGTTCGCACGTGCGTCACGCACGCCGTCCTGTTTGCCACCCCCTTGAGTGTTCGGACGCTTGTCGCGCATGATCTAGTTAACATATTAGCGTATGCCGACTTTGCACGGGAGGGAGGGGAGGAGAAGGAGGAGGAGAAGGAGGAGGAGGCGGAGGAGGAGGTGTTTGAAGAGGAGGATAGGGGAGGAGGAATGGGGGAAGAGGAGGGAGGAAGATGGGGGAGAAGGAGGAGAATGAGGCGGAGGAGGAAGATGAGGAAGGAGGCCTACTTACCGTTCGCATGCGCATGCTTCAGAGTGGCGATGTCCCTTCACGGATCGTTGCTGAAGCTATGCGCATATGCAGTTTTTGTTCTGACTCATACCCGTCCTCTTGGGACCATCAATTTGGTGCCTGTGACCACTATGGTGCCTAGCAGTCGCCCCCCCTGGGACCACTATGGTGCTCAGTATGTCCGCCCAGCCTGTCAGGGAAGATGTTTTCGGCGTCGCCTGAGTGCCTTCTGCCCAGGCTCCCGACGTCATGTTTTTTCATTACGCGACCCCCCGAAGGTTCAGACCCACTCCCGGGGACCGGTTTCTCATCCTGAGTCGTTTTTTGACGGTCCCGAGGCACGGTGAGGTCCCCTAGAGGCCGAAAATAAGGAAAAACATCCCGTCGTAATTTTTTCATGACTCGAGGGTGTCTGGGTGGTGCGCTGCTTTTCCTTGATACTCTTGGACCGAAGCGATTGTTGGCACCACGATGGTCCCACGGTGGGCGCCCTGGTGGTCCCCGTAGCGGGCGCCGGGCGCAACCCGCGACCCGGGTCGCTCGGTGCTCACAGGAAGCGTCGTCGCGGCGTCGGGGAGATCGGGTCAGGGTCAGTGTCCTGCCAGCCTCCGCTGGCCCCGCAGCTGATTCGCGCACAGTCATGGAGCCCAAGCGCAGGGTGTCACGTGCGCTCTCCCCATTGAGCTTTCGTTGTTGGTGCCCCGTGCCCAACTCCTTCAGACGCGCCAGATGCGGGGGCAAGGTATGTTTGTAGGCAGGCGCTCTTCTGAGCCCTCCAGTCCCGTGGCGGTTGCCAGGCTCGGCGGAGCCCCGCCGCTTGGGTCGGACGCGTATCTTCTTGATGCGAGGGGCCACGCGTGGGGTAAAACAAGGGTGCATTTCCTCGCTCTGCTTTCGTTGTGAAGATACATTCGGCTGTTGCGCACGTTGACCGCCCGCAATCCTGTCGCGAGCGCGAAACCGTTGTTCTGGACACGATGCGTCAGCGGCGCAGCGACGCACCGCCCGCCCTGGCAACGCGAGCAATCACGGAGCATGTCCCAAATTAGTGGGCATCTCTGTGGGCATCACGGCCCTCCTCCCTGGTCGGGGTCAATGACAATTCTTAGCCCTTTGGCTTCTGGTCCGCCGCTTTCAGGTTAATCGTGTGCGAGCCAGAGGACCTTGGTCCTCAGCTGTCAGCTGCAGGGAAGAGCATCCCCTTCCTCACCAGGAGCACCCTCTTCCCCGCTGGGCCGCCGCCCTGCCAGTCTGCTCGCATGAACCCCACGCCGGAGGAGGCGATAATGACCGCCGGGATCTGGCTCCTCCTCGGTCGAGTCAGGCTCGCGGGTCGACGCGGCCGCGGAAACGATTTGAACGGGGTCACCGCTGGCGACCCCCTCTCGTGGCTTCGCGAGTGTCGGGAAGGACAGCCTTGGTCGCGACTACCTGGGGCGTCGACGAATCCACGCCAGCTCCAGCGACAGCGGGTGTGAGCTAATCAGCGCCCACAGGGTGGCTTGTGCGCTGCATGGGCCACGGGCAACGTTAGGGGGGAAAAGGCTCAGGGGGGGAATGCGTTGAGCCCCAATGGCCCATTCATCGCCGGTAGGGGCCTAAAAAACCCGCCCCGCCCAGGAGCGTGCGGATTCGCCATCGGGGGCCCGTAGCGGATCACTCGGCGATAGGTCGCCGATCCACAGCGGGCTGGAACGCCCGGCCGCGATCTTGACGGCCTGCCAGGCGCAGCGCATCGTCGGAGCGGCGGCCCTCCATGGGGCCGGCCAGACCCGCGGTGGCCAGCCTGGTCAGGGTGGAGGTGGCCGCGGGCCAGATGCCCACGAGAGAGGCACCGAGGCTCCGCGGCGGGGGCGCCCAGGCCGGGTGCGGGGAGCACGAGGCGCGCGCCGCGGGGGGGGGCGGCGCCCGCCCGTGGCCCTGCTGGGCCCGCGCCTCGGCCACCTTCGCCGCCTCGTGGCTCGCTGCGCGGCCGCCGCGGGCACGCCGCGCAGGCGAGGCACGCGCCGCGAGGGCGCGACGTCTCCGCGCCGCGAGCCTCACGTGTCGTGCTGCCCGACGGCGCAGTCCCCGCGGGCCAGAGCACCAGCGGGCGGCCCGCCGGCTCGCGCCCAGGCGCGCGCCGCGCGAGGTCCACCCGGCGCAGGCTTCGGGGGCCACGCGCTGGGGCAGCGCCTCGTGCTGAAGTTCATCAGCTACATCGTTTTTCTCAGGATCAAGGCTATGAGTACGGTGGCTGCGACGCACGCCGCGGGAGGCGGCTCACGGGCCAAAATGCTTACGGTTCGGGTGCACGATGCGTTGATGCTTCCCCTCGCCATGCACTGCTAAATACGACTCTGGTTGCTACATGCCTGGGTGCCGGTTGCGGTGGGATCGCGTCGCGGCGACGACCCCGCCGCGGGCCTTCACAGCGGAGCGCCGCCAGTGGCGCAGAATTTGCCAGTGTGAGCGTTGATGCGATCGATGATCAGAGTTGAACGGTCCATGCGGCGTCACGCGCCAGCGCGCAGGCGCGACGCGAGCCCGCCGCAAGAGGAGCGGCACCCTGCAGTTCTTGGAGCTGCACGGGCCAGTGCTGGTCGTAGTCGTATTCGTAGTCGAAGTCGAAGTTGTAGTCGTAGTTGTAGTCGTAGTTGTAGTCGTAGTAATCGTAGTCTTTTTTGTAGTTGTATTAGTCGTAAGAGTAGCAACAGCTTCGGGCGAAGCAATAGCAGTGGTTGCGTTCGTGGTGCTATTATCATTTGTTGGATTGGAATGATGGCTTGCATTCGTGTGAGATCTAGTCTTCGTAGTCTTATGAATGATGATGACAGTAGGACAGTTGTAATAGTAGAATAGTGGTAATTCTAGGAGGAGGAGGACAAGGAACACGAGGAGGGAGTAAGGCAGGGAGAAGGGTAAGGGAGTCAGGAGGAACGAGAAGCAGGAGGAGGAGGAGGGATGGAGGAGGAGGAAGGATGAGGAAGGTGGACCCGGAGGAGGAGGAGGGTGGAGGAGGAGGGTGGAGGCGGAGGAGGAGGGTGGATGAGGGATGGAGGAGGAGGAGGAGGGATGGAGGAGGAGGGTGGATGGAAAGAGAAGCAGGAGGAGGAGGAGAGTGGACCCGGGCGCAGGGCCGGGACCTGATGGCCTGCGCGCAGACTGGAAGCGGCAAGACGTGCGCGTTCATGGTGCCCTGCCTCGAGTCGCTGCTGCGCAGTGGCCCCCCAGCGAACCCAGGCGCGCGGGCGCTGCATCTCCGATTGCTTCTGCGAGACACCAGTTTGGAGGCTCTGTGCCTGGGCTGCCTCTGGAGCCCCACTGGTGGCCCCTGCATGCCGGTAAGCTTTCCGACTGACCTTTGCGAGCGAGCACTGCGGAGCGAGATCCAAGGTCGATGCTCTTGGCCGCACGCGGCCCCCCCGTCCACGGCGTCTGGCGGACTCCTGCGCCGCTGGGACGCACCCTCCTGGCTGCTGCCTGAGCTCTCAACACGGGCCGCGTGGGGGGGGCTCTGCACGGAGGGGCGGAGGGAAGGCGATCGGAGGTATGTGGCCGTCTGTCGTGTGTGTGCCTGCGTGGGCAGTGAAGAGGGTGCGGATGACAGAGCAAGGGGGGCGGGAAGGAAGGCGAGGGAGGGGAAGGGAAGGGAGAGGAGAGGGTCGAGATGACAAGTTGGAGATGGGGGGATGGGTGGCGAGGGGAAGGGGATAAGGCAAGGGGCCATGCTCTTTCGGATTTTTGATCTCCAAGTCCTAGTCGTCCGACCGCCGCCGCCGCCCCCGTCGGTCGGGAACCCTACCGTCGGTCGCTCTCGGTGCCTCTAGCTCTTGCCCGACTCGGCTTCCTGCTTCTTCCGACTCCGCACCTTCGCTGTCGCCCTCACCCTCCCCATCTTGAGCCCCCCTTGCAAGTTTCTGCTTCTGCCCCCTTCCCCGCCCCCCCCCTCAGAGCTGGAGCAGACGAAGGCGTCAGGGAGGGGGGGAAGGCGCAGATGGGAAGGCACAGGGGGCGAGGGCGACGGTGTGGCTGGGCACACCGGCGAGGGCGGGGAGAGGCCGCGGCGGGGAGCGCCAGCACCGCGAGGAGGAGGAAGAGGAGGGCCCCGCCAGGCTCGCGGTCGCGCCCGAAGCCGATGCCGTGCGGCCTCGTGCTGGCCCCCACGCGCGAGCTGGCGGCGCAGATCCACGTGGAGAGCACGAAGTTCTCCTTCGACACGGGGACCGGCGCGTCTGCAGCTGCAGGGGGCGTGTGCGTGTGCGTGTGCGTGTGTTTGTGTGGGCGTGGGCGTGGGCGTGGGCGTGGGCGTGGGCGTGGGCGTGGGCGTGGGACGTGCAGGAGGGGGCGGGTGCTGCGGAATCCGCCTGGCTTCCGCCCGATCAGGGTCGGACTTGTAGCGACGGTCTGTTCTGGTCCTGCAGCAAGCGGTATAGCGGGTTCCAGGATCAGATCAACGTCTGGGTTGGGCCGAAGGTGTAAGCTGGACCCGTCCGGTCCAGCAAAACGATTGCTCCGGAAAAGCTTTCTGGTCTGGTCCTGGGATACGTTGTTTGGTCCCCGTGGGGGGAGGGCGAGGAGGGGTTCCATTCAGGCCAGAGTATCGCAAGCCATCCATTACGAAGAGACGCGGGATCGGCTGCTCGGAGTTGCTAGACGTCAGGGGACATAATCTCCTGCCAGGCGATTGGGCTGGTCATCGATTTCCTCTGCGGGGCGTGCGACGTAGGAGGACGAACTCGATGATGATGATGATGATGATGATGATGATGATGATGATGATGATGATGATGATGATGATGGTGGTGGTGGTGGTGGTGGTGATGGTGATGGTGATGGTGATGGTGATGGTGATGGTGATGGTGATGGTGATGGTGATGGTGATGATGCTGCTGATGATGATGATGCTGATGATGCTTAGGATGATGATGAGGAGGATGATGATGATGATGATACTGCTGATGATCATGCTGATGATCATGCTGATGCTGATGCTGATGACAACGATGATGATGTTGATGATACTGCTAATAATGATGATGATGATGATGATGATGATGATGATGATGATGATGAGGAGGAGGAGGAGGAGGAGGAGGAGGAGGAGGAGGAGGAGGAGGAGGAGGAGGAGGAGGAGGAGGAAGGTGTGGAGGATACGGGGGGAGATGGATGAGGAGGGGGATGACAAGGAAGGACTAACTCAGACGCTCTGGTGACGATGCTTTTCCAGGCGGGAAGGTTCATACGATCGTTCTGCACCCTTGCTTGCCCAGATACGTTGAGAAGCAATTAGCTTCTCGTAAAGATGCGACATCAACAGCGTCATTACGGTTTAACTGCGAACCGTGCCAAATTGACGAGCTCGTGAAGGAACCGCTTGCCATCCATGTGGCTGGCAGTATTTTGTAAGTAGCGTGCGCAGCATTGAATCGAGATTACGGCTTTGAAGCGAAGCGCCCCCCCCATCTGTGTGAGTTTGAGCATGTTAAGACTTGATGTTGCTTGGCTCTGCCATCCCCCAGTCTTCTCTTCGAGACAGGGCCGGAGAGTGTGCGGGCGCGCTAGTGCCCTGCATGTCGGAGCTTGCTGTGTCTATGCAGCTCTCCTTGCCCCTCTCTCGCGCGCCAGCGCCAGGATCCGTGCGTGCATCATCTACGGAGGTGCGGACATGAGGGAACAGCGGTCGGAACTCGAGAAGGGCTGCGACATCCTCATCGCCACCCCAGGCCCACGGGGGGACTTTTGCCGCGCCGAGGTGTCTGGGAGTCTCTCGAGCGCTGTCAGTGATCGTGTCAGGCAGTTGCCAAGTGATCGGCGCGCGTCGCAGGCTTGTCTCGGAGTCCTGCTGCTGCCGCTCCGTCCGACGCGGCTCGGGTGGCGGCTATGCAGCAGGAGGCACTGAGTGCGGAGGCTCAGATCTGACCTCCCAGACAGCTGCTGCCCGCTGGGGTCATGCTTGCCTCTACATGTAAGGCCACTTGTGCCCGCATCTGCATACTTGCCTCCTGCTCCCTCTCTGGATCTCGCGTTCATTCTGGACTCTGACTCTGACCTCCGCCTGATGCAGAAAGCAAGTCTGGCATGCTTGTTGTTACCCTTATTGCGTTGCGCGCCAGAATGGCCTTCGTTCGAAATCGGCCACCCCGCCCCAGGTATGCCTGACAGGAGATGGAGCGGGGCAGACATTCGATATCCGCATTCCCGCCCAGGCGTCTTGATCGCCGATTGACATACATGTGTGAACCACCTATATCACTCGTGGCGCGGGCTGGAGCGGGCCTTCTTCAGGCTTGCAACGCCGAAAGATCGTCCTGATCTGTCGTGGCCCCTTCCTCTACCGTTCGCCTCGTCATCCTGCTGCTACTCCTCCTCGGCCTCCTCCGCCTCGTCCCCGTTCTCGTCCTCTTAGTCCGTCTCGGCATCCTTCCTCGTTTTTTGTTAACTTGCCACTCCGACGCTCCAGCCTGGTCGGTCCTCTTACCCCTCCTCCTCCGCCTCCTCCATCTCGTCCCTCCTCTTCGGCCTCGCGCCCTTCCCGCTCCCCCCCCCTCCTCCTCCCTCCTCCTCTCCCTCCCACCTTGGTACCTTCTTTTCGAGTGAGCGCAAGGAGAATCGTAGGCCGCCCGCGGACGAGGTGGACAGACGTGTCACTGTTTGAGCTTCTGGTCCTCCCGTTCCCCTGCTCTTCCTGCCGCTGCTGCTGCGGACCACGCTCTCGACCCGGCGTCTGATACCGGACGTCTGTCACGCCGCGCAGCGGTGCTTGTTTCGTCTCGCACGGTGGTTTCGCAGCTTCACGCCTGAAGATTATGTTCACACCTCGCCTCTGATGTCGGCCCGGCGCCTTGCCGGGGCAGGCGGACTTCCCGCCTCCCCGCGGGCCGCTCTACTCTGCTCTGCTCCGCTCCTCCTTCTTCCCTCCCGGCGTCCCCTTCCCCGTCCACCTCTGCCTGCTCACTGCCCCCCCCTCCCCCTCACCTCCCCCGCCTCATTCTCCCTCTCTGCCCTCCGTCCCCGTCGCTGCCCGCCTCCGTCCACTTCTATTTCCACTTCCCTTTCCCCGCGTTCGCCCCGCTGTGCCTCTCGGTTTCGCCAGGGCGGCTCACCGACATGTACGAGCGAGGCGGCCAGATAGATGGGAGGACAGAGGTAATTCACGATCGAGCAGGGATGTGGAGGAAGTGATGAAGTTTACAGTGACAGTGGAGATGCAGGGGAGGGGCAATAGTATAATGATGATGCTGATGATGATGGGGATGCTGACTATGATTATGATGAGGAGGATGCTGCTTCTGATGATGATTATATGATGAGGATGACGATGCCGAAGATGATAATGCTGCTGATGGTCATGATGCTGATGATGACGATGATGCTGATGATGGTGATGATCCTAAGGAGGAGGATGATGCTTGATGCTGCTGCTGCTGCTGCTGCTACTGCTGCTGCTGCTACTGCTGATGCTGCTGCTGCTGATGCTGCTGCTGATGATGATGATGATGACGACAAGGAGGAACAGGAGGAGGACTCCTCACCCTCCTCCTCCACGGGCGGGCATGCTGGCTGTGGGCCCTGTTCCGTTTGGCCCTTGCGGAGAGGTTGTTCCCCCCACTCCTTCTGGCCGCCATGGGCCGTGCCCCCCCCCTCCTCCGGCATTCCGGCCTCAGCAAGATCGAGCCACGTCGCAACCAAGTCAAAGAGCAGCTTCTTCACTTTGATTGATTCCATCCCCGCCACGGCGCGGGGGGCGGCCCAGGGGGTCTCGGGACTCTCTTGAGACTCTTGTTGTGTGTTCTTGGGGGCTTTGGGGGGGCCTCCCTGGGTCCCTCGGGGCTTTTCGCAGGGCACCCTCTCAGGCCCTCTCGGAGACATCCTCATGCATCAGATGCCCATCGGACGCCGAACATAGGAGATGGCTCAAACTATTGGAAATAAACTCGAGCAACCTTGGGGCCGTTTTTGTGACCCCTTGGAGCCATGATGGAGCGCATCCTGGGCCCACGAGGACAAACTTGTATCATCTTGCAGGTATTCTGGGACTGCCTGGGGCCGCCGTGGAGCCATCGAGGGTCACCTTGGACGCGCTCACGACTCGGGGCTCCTTCGGTTCAAACCCGCGTGGATGACTTGGAGGGGTGAACCTGTCCCCGAAAAGAAATGAGGGGTGGTTTGTCATGGAAGAGCTGGCGTTGGAAACCACCTGCTCACAGAGCGCTGGTGGGGCTTGTGCCAGCTTCTGGCCAACTGGGGGGGGGCCTTGTTGCTTGTCCCGCTTCCCCTTGCTCTCGTGCCCCCTTTCGCCTCGTCCGCCCTGGTCGATCTCTTTTCAGGGTTGGTGGAACTGGCCACAAGGCCTTCCAAGAAAGGGAGCACTCACATGTCTCTTCCGACGCGATGATGGGGAGCAGACGCCTGCAAACGAATTTCCAAACCATGCAATGGTCAGGGCAACTTATCCACCTTGGGTGGAGACGTGCGCGGGCGCGCAGAGCCAGAAACCCTGGTGGAGCGCACACAGTGACACACACACAAGCCTACACGCTAGTTCTCGACAGGGTGGCGCGCGGCGCCGCACTGTAGAGAGAGGGAGAGAGACAGAGTGATCTATAGATATGTATAAATATATATATATATATATATATATATATATATAGACAGAGAGAGAGGCAGAGAGAGAGAGAGAGAGAGAGAAACAGACCACAATAAAGGAAGAGAGACCATCTTTCCTGCCTGGCTTGGTTGCGACCCTGGCGGCCATCACCCACCGCGGGCACAATGATGCGCGTTAACCAGACCCCGCGTGGAGGCTACCTTGACTGGCACGGAGCGGTCATGGGATGGGCATTGGCCACACCGCGTTACGAATGCTGCCATGCTACCTCAACAAGGGGGCAACAGGATCAAACGAGTGCACACAAACTTGTCACGTCGGCGACCTAGGGGTGTCCAACACGATCGCTGCGAATGTCAAGCCAAGACGTGCGGATCGGTATAGTCCTGGAGATTGACAGGACAAGACCCAATCGCAAGGGACCCAACACGAGCTCAGGCCAGCGTATTCTCGGATGTCCCAATCATAGAACGCGCACGCATCTACAGTTTGTCGTTGCAGGGGGCCAGCCTACCAGGGTGGGGCCAGTCTTTACACCAGGCGGTGTGTCGGGAGCGCTCGATATTATGTGCGGTTTTGTTGCTGGGGATGGAAGGCTCTCGTCCTCGTGCTGCTAGAGAAATGCCTGCCTCTGCATCAGTGCAACGGGTTCCTGGGGGGGGGGGCTTCGGGCCCTGCCTGCGAGCCCCGCGGCCTTCGGGAGGCACCTGAGGGACCCAAGACCGCAAGGTGGGTGGAGGCGAGGCGGAGCCGTCAGGGCGTTCTGGTGGCCCCTCCCTTTTCTGAAGTGCCCTCTCCTTTCAGCTTTCTGCCGGCGGGGCGAGGGTCGGTGCAGGCTGGCGCGGCGTCGACGCTCCGCACCTCCCAATCGCACCAACTCGCCGAGCACTTTTTCGGGTGTCTCGCGGCAGCGTGCTAAGCGGCGTGACGCAGGAAGTCGGGCGAAGAGTCGCGCGCGGCCGGCCCCAGTCACGCGGCGTGGGGCTGTTGGATCCGCCCGCATGACTCGCTGGGAGGCTGACGCGAGGGGAGCGGCGGGAACCGCCAAAGCACACGCACACGCACACGCACACGCACACGCACCCGCACACGCACACGCACACGCCCACGCACCCGCACCATATCCTTGTTCCTTATTATTATATACCCCCACCTACCTCGTATTCCGGCCGATAGTAACCCGATCCGGGACCTCCCATCCGGACTGTAAAACATCAATACAAAGTGGCAGTTTTTCTTCTCAACGTCGTCTTTCTTGTCGTCGACGATGCGAAAAGCGTGAGAGGAATGGGACGCGGCGCACATCGCGCGCGGCAGTCAACCTGGGCCCGCCCATCCTGACTGTAAAAAATCAATACAAAGTCTTTGCTGTGTCCTCTCAGCATGGCCTGCCTTGTCGCCGACGGTGCGACATATGTGGCAGCCATGGGACGCGGCGCACATCGCGCGCGGCCGTCAATCTGGGCCCGCCCATCCTGACTGTAAACAATCAATACAAAGTCTCTGTTTTTTCCCAACCATCCTGTGGTGTTGGGTCCTCGTTTTGAAGAGACGGCGCCCCGCGTTCCTCACCTCCTCCTCCTCACCTCCTCCTCCTCCCCCCCCTCCCTCCTCATCATCATCATCATCATCATCATCATCATCATCATCATCATCATCATCATCATCATCATCATCATCATCATCATCATCATCATCATCATCATCATCATCATCATCATCATCATCATCATCATCATCATCATCATCATCATCATCACCACCGATTTCGGCACACCCCTCACACGTTTCGTGGCCCCATAGGGAGCTCCACCGAAGGCCCCAGTGGCAGGGTCCGCATGCCTCCCCACCACCCATTTCGGCACACCCCTCACACGTTTCGTGGCCCCATAGGGAGCTCCACCGAAGGCCCCAGTGGCAGGGTCCGCATGCCTCCCCACCACCCATTTCGGCACACCCCTCACACGTTTCGTGGCCCCATAGGGAGCTCCACCGAAGGCCCCAGTGGCAGGGTCCGCATGCCTCCCCACCACCCATTTCGGCACACCCCTCACACGTTTCGTGGCCCCATAGGGAGCTCCACCGAAGGCCCCAGTGGCAGGGTCCGCATGCCTCCCCACCACCCATTTCGGCACACCCCTCACACGTTTCGTGGCCCCATAGGGAGCTCCACCGAAGGCCCCAGTGGCAGGGTCCGCATGCCTCCCCACCACCCATTTCGGCACACCCCTCACACGTTTCGTGGCCCCATAGGGAGCTCCACCGAAGGCCCCAGTGGCAGGGTCCGCATGCCTCCCCACCACCCATTTCG